TTTTGATACGAAAATTTGCATAATCCAGTCTTTACGAAGCCAGCGATACCTCGTATGAGCTTCCATCGGTCTTTTACGTTCGTACCTCGAGATTACGACATTTGCATACACCGCGATTTCATGATCGTCGTCTCCTCGCGGTGTGATAGGAGAAAGAGAATTATCAAATTTAATTCTCGCCGGCAAAACGCATTTGCTGTGTACTCGCGCCACGTGATATATTTTACTACTGTAATATATCACGGGACGTGTATATACGAAGAGAAAACAACAACTTTCCCACTTTTTCTGTCTGTATCTCCTCTTTCTAACCAGTCAAGTATGTTTGAAAAATTCCAACTACGTATTAACGCGTTTGCTTTTTTCTTCGGTCGTAAAAAAATTTCATTCATAAAAATACAATACGTATATATTTTTTCTTATCTGTTGCGCGAAACACAAGTTATTTACGATGTGCAGAGTTATATTTCTCTTGGGTATTCGTATTTTCACTTGGTCGGGTTAAAAAAAGAAAATATTCATTTTTATCTGAGATCTCGGATTGGTGTGGAAAAATCCGGAATTCAGAGCGTCGATGAGGAATTCCCGGCACGCAAGATCGAAACGCATTGGTAACTTCGATCTCTCGAAGGAGAGGCATACACACCGAAGCCCACTCACCTTCCTTCCTTTCCCTTCCCTTTTTGCCGTGACTGCGTTAGGTCGCTGTCGAGATCCTTAGGCTAGCGTTAGAGAACCGCGTAGCGCGCCGCGCCGTGCCGCGCCGCTGCGAACAGGAATTCTTTCACGTCGTGAGTCGTATAGAGCTACCTACGGTGCGTGAGAACACGCCGGGGTGAAATGGTTACATTTAATATCTCGTCCGCAAAATCCGCAATTTTATTGTGCGTTTACTCGGCGTCGCAATTCGCGCGTTTCGCGAGATTATAACGCCGTTACACAATTACAATCCTCAGGCAAAACCGGAAAGAAATTAAAATTACAATTTTAATAAAGTTAAAAAAAAAAAAAAAAAAAAAAAACAATTAAATTCCAATTTTGATATCTGTAATTTTTTTAAAGATTAAAATATCATTACAGATGAATTGTTTATTTAACGGCATGTTAATTTATATATGTCACTTTTCTTACATTTATTATACTTTAAAGATGACTTTGAAGATGACTAAAGACTCGATTATTTAACTATCGAGAATTAAAAAAAAAAAAAAAAACAAATACAAGATGTTTACATTAAGCTATTTATTTTATTTTTTTTTACGCTCAAAGGAGAAGTTACTTCTAAATTGAACACAAGGAATTTCTAGAAAGGAAGAGCAAGAGCGCCTTGGGAGACCAAGTGCAATAGTCCCTTCCATCCGGCCACGCTCGTCGATTTTTTTCTCGTTAGCCGCAACCACAGCCAAGGTAGCGGCGGTAATTTAAAGAAAAATACAATGAACCTTTCTTTTACGTGGAAACGTACAAGAGCGATATTCCCATCGCGTAAACGACGATCGTAGCTACAACGCTTTTATCGGGTCACGTGTCTCTCGCGTTAGTTGTGCAATCACTATTACCTCGATTGGCGAGCGATATAATTGTGCGACCCAAATTCGGTCTGGCACGTAAAATATCAGCCGAATGAGACAGAGATTGGCCGACTCGACTACTGAATGCGCTACCCAATTTCTACATTTCTCTCTTTCTCTCTCTCTCTCTCTTCCCCTTCCTCTTATTAGAGCGTGTCTTATAAAAACGTGTCACATGCCGTGAGATAATTTATCTCTGCTTGCTGATATTAAATCGCGCACGACCGATATGTAGGACAATCGCGAATTACGTATATTTCAAAATTCAAAATATTTGCGATCTCTCTCTCTCTCTCTCTCTCTCGCGAGTGCTCTGCGGTTACATCATTAATTTATTTCTCTCGTGTGAATTGAATACACGAGCGAGAAAAAAACCAGTTCTTTCCACAGATTATGCAAATTAATATTTAAAATGCGCGCGATATAATTTTCAGTATTAAATAACAAATTTATTCTCGCCGTAAATGCTTTCCGATAACGACGACGTGCGGTTCTAATGAAACTCGCGAGTCAGTTTCTCGGTTTCTTCTTTCCGATAGCCGCGGTATTCGCATGTATAGCGTCATCAGCTGTCATCGCGCGAAATGACAACCGATCCTCGTGCCTGTCACACAACAATCTGCTATCCTACTTTGCGTTTCCCACGCCGTAAATTGCAAAATTACCCTCGAACGAGGCACGTTGTCTTCGTCGTCGTCGTCGTCGGTGAAAGCGAACCGAAATCATCACTTATATCGCGCGTAACGAGTATCTCCTTATTGCTGATTCTTACGTGCCGGAGTGATTTACATTTTTCAGCATGCGATTAAGAATCGTTAGAGAATCGCGAGCAAGAATCCCGCGCGAAACGCTTGACCGCGCGCATTGGAAGTCGCTGTTTGCACTTTCGAAACCGTAAACGGGTGCAGCCGACTGAATAATTAAACCGCGCAACTTGATGACCCCAAGAAATACTTGATATTCCGTCCCAATGCATAGATATTATTACAGAAGTATACTTTCATAGAGCCATATATAAAAGAAGAAACCTCGCGCGCGCGCGCGAAAAAGAAACACAAACTTTCTCGTGTCGCGCATGTCGACGCATGTTCTGCGATATCAACCCTCTGTAACTCGAATGTTCTTCGTGACTTTCAAAATATTTATGCAACGTGAAATCAGCGACTATAAACTTTCAAATATAAATTAACAATAAATTACTATTTTCAAAGATTGTATGTTTATTTATTTATGTATTCGTTTTTTCGCGATAAACAATCTTCATACAAGAGAAAGGTGACAAAGCGAGATGCGTGTGCCACCGCGTTGTGGCTAAAACTGAAATTAAACTAAAAGAATATCGATGTATCGGCATGCGACTTCGAAGTCGTTCGCGATAAACGATTAACAAGATCTCGAAGATTATCAATTGTAATTATTTCTGTAACACGACAGAGACAATTTATTTTTCTCTGGTGATACAAAGCGACAAGTTCTAAATTGTCTTCGGAGAAACAAAATGTCGCGCTTTTACATTTGCATCATCTCAATGTTATTAAGCGTTGCTGTTTTTTGTTTCTTTTTTTTTTTAATTGAACATTTCCTACATAAAAAAACCTGCATCATAATCGTCACGAAACCGTTTCGCACAGAAAACGCCTGATTGTTTTTCTCCAATGAGAAACGTGACTCGTCTGGCGTTTACGCAAACTCATTAGTGCGTTATGACCTAGGCGCGTTATGAAATAGCGGTCGATCCTCGATTATGCAAACGATTGACAAGTCGCGGTATTGCGCGACTTGAACGTGTATATTATATATTTGCGGCGCGCGCTCATTGAAAGAGCATATTTGCACTGCTGCACGGTAATGTCACGAGATTTGCACAAGCGCTAAACTGCGCTAATTGCACACACACGAGATAAATATACACCTATTTGACTTCGTATGAAACTCTTTTATTAAGTGACGCCGCCTCGACTTCGTTGTCTCTCGAAACCTCACGCGAAAAATTTCGCGTTTCCTCAGTCAGAGAGAGAAATACAAACGTCGTAACTAATGAAGACTCGCTCCGCCTCTTCTGTTTTTTTTTCTTTTTTTTTTTCACACGCGAATGACGACCGTACGAATTTCTCTCGGAGCAAATTCAGAATTTCACATTCCACGCGCATAACTATGCAAAGGAATTCGTCGTCGTCTACGCGTTTCTATACTCCGCGAACGATCGTCGGCGGAGTAAATTTTGTTGCGACACGTCAATTTACACGCGCGATATAAATCCGTTTACATTAGCAAAGGAACATCCGCGCGACGAACGTTTTTTTTTTTTTTTTTTTTTTTCTCACAACATTTCGACGCAAATTATTTCGCCGTTCGCGAAAGCTGACCGTGAATTCTGTCTGTCTTTCAAGGTCTTCGCATGTGGACGTTTTTTTTTTCATACTCCAGAAAATAATTAACGAAGCTAAAATAGCCATTGGCTGCGAGCGAAACGTACGCGCTCACCTTATTCTAAGCGATAATCGGAATCGATTACAATCGAGTCGCAAATGAAACAGATAAGAGTTTCATATTGCGCAAGTGCTCCGCGTAAAAAAAAAAAAATACAGCGCATCTTCTTCACTCTGGAAACATTTCCAGACACGCGTTAATCGCGCTCAAACACCGATTCGATTCCGCTGTGTGTGAAACATAAGATATACCGAAGGGAAGCGAAAAGTGAACGAGGCCGTGCGAGTCGACGACGGCGTCGGCGGCGGCGGCGAACGCGAGCGTTGACTCTCTCGCTAACGAGTGATTAGCTTCCGTAATTGAGCTCGTAAGAGTTTCGTTCGTGTTCGAAACCGAAGTTCGAAACACACGCGGAAGAGCATTCCGAACCGCGTGTCTGTGCGGTCTACGAGCGCGAATTAGGCTCGTCGGGAATTTCATTTGCGGAACCCCGGCGGGGAGGAGGATTGTGTTTTGCCGCACGAGAAGGGGGAAGTCGATCATCGCCTCTGGCTTTCTTGAGCGCCAAGTATGGCACTGCTGACCCGGTAGCCGGATATACGACGCGACAAGTATGCAAGTATCGTTTGCTGTCGTTAAGCTGTTTTAAAACCAGCGCCTCCGCTCTCCGAGGCACTACCGCGCCTGGCAACAACACAACAACGTGTATCTTTTACGAGCGAGACATGAACGAGATGTCGGTCGGAATGAAAAGATCGCAAAACAAAAAAAAAAAAAGGAAAAAAAAAACAACCGCCGAGCGCGCATAAATTTAAACGGGATTGTACTTACCTACCTACTATACCTCGCGAACGACCCCGCAAGACCAATTATAAGATTTTTCGTGCTCGGCCTTACCCCACCCAGTGAGACAAATTATTGCCTGACACATAATTCAGGATCCCTTTTCAACGAGTACAGTTTCACGAATAATAAAAAGAAACTCCATTTCTGTTTCAGCTGTTAATCACCGCGAAGGTACCATCCTGCTCGCCATGCCGTACTACAACAGCGGTCACAGTCCTGCTTACAACAAAGGTGAGACACGGATCGCGCGTCATTTGGATTACGCGCGGGTTGGAACTCGTCGAGCTAAATTACATACGTTTCGAAACGACGACTTATCAGTTGTCGTCCGATAATCCGTCCGTCTTTGTCGCGAATCGCGAAGGACGATTAAAAGTGAAAAAAAGAAAAAAAACACATTGCTTCACGGAAATTCGATTAAATCGATAAGAATAATAAAACGATATATAAAATATATAAATACAATTGATATGATTCGGGAGATGTTTTATGAGAAGAAGCGAGACCTGAGAAGAGAGAAGCTTCTCGAGCCGCGCGCGAGTTAATTAAAGAATTCGAAAAATTCTTAAGTGACATTTCGCGTGATTTTAAACGCGCTATAATAAACGAATGAAAAGCATTTTACGAGCGAGTTAATTGAAGTCGAGCCTCTCTCGTGCGTTTCAGATGGTGGCTCCAGCGGGCCGTCGAGTACTTCGGGCGGCCGTGGCAGCAGCACCGAGCCGACGTACATGATGGAGCACTTGGCCACCTTCACCGTCACGAAGGAAACCGGTATTGTTTATCCAGCGGACGGCATGCGCCGACTCCTACAACTGGAGAAAAGCAATGGCATTTGGAGTCAAAAAATGCAGCTCCGTCTCGAGCGAAACTGGGTTCTTATCATGGACAACGAGACGGGGGTAATGGTTCTTTTCCTTTTGCGCTTTGATGTCGCATGTAAATACACGCATCGACCGGAAAACATGTTTGCGCGATTTAATGACGGTTTTTAATTAAATCCGCAAATACTTTTATCACGTCCTCGATCGGGCAATGCAACTATATGTATGTAGGTATATATATATATAGTTGCAAGAACTGCCGCGAGCCAATGTTCGAGACAACGATAAAGTGATATCGTATATACATCGAAATTAATCGCGCGACACGGTTGAAAGCTGTAATTTATACATATAATCAACGATTTCGATTTGCCTCGTGTGTCTCTCACGCGAGAAAGTGGATCGTGCGCGAAACTGACGACAGTTTCACTCAACGACACGTGTAACGATTGAAAATTCCAGGCTGTCATGGAGAGATTCCCGGCTGCGCTGATACAGGAGCCCACGGCGTTCACGTCTAGAGATCCGATGGAGATGTACAACAACATTCTGGTGTTCACGGTCGCCGACGACAGCGGTTCCGGCCAGCGCGCGGAAATGCACATATTCCAGTGCCAGAGCGTGTCGGCGCAGGATCTCGTCGAGGATCTGAAGATGTTGCAGATGGGAAAGCTCGTCACGAGCGGCTCGCCCAGAGGTCCTAGGGGTCACATTCCGCCCCCGCCTGCTCTGCCGCCACCGGAACCACCTCTGAACGGCGTCAGAGAACAGGTGTCCGCCTTCAACGCAGCGAACGGTGAGCGCACGAAATTAACGAGTTGTCGCCGAAAAAAAGTGTCGAATAAATGCAATTTCCCGCGTTTATACAAAGAAATATTGACTTTTTTCTCTGTGTGCCCCGTACCTCACTTCGGAATATTCTTGTCATCTATGTTGTGCTCACAGCCTGCTTATTATTGTCAACATTCTGGTTTTTTGTTTCATTATTGTTTTGTCTCTCTGTATTCTTGCATCGTCATTTTTGCGAGTACGGTACTTTTTTTCATTGTTCTTTTTGCCAACCACAGGATTGATTCTTGTCAAATAAACGTAGCATTTAAAATTCTGCAGCGGTCTCTCTTGCACGCAATCACAACGATTTACAGTGTTAACCTTTTCTTTTGGGGGCAAATTTAAACATGACAGATAATCAGAATGACATGTCTCGAGAGGAGAACAACGACGAGGTATCCTCGACGTCTTCGGAAAAATACGAGCGAGACGTGACGATTCTCAACCACTGCTTCGACGACATCGAGAAGTTCATCGCCCGTTTGCAACACGCGGCGGCCGCGTCTCGCGAGCTGGAGCGCCGGCGACGAAACCGAAAGTCGAAGAAAAGAAACTTAGGCGACGGCATGCTGACGATGAGAGCGAAGCCGCCACCCGAGATGGAGTTTATCGATATTTTCCAGAAATTCAAACTGTCGTTCAACCTGCTGGCCAAACTCAAGGCGCACATTCACGACCCGAACGCGCCGGAACTCGTGCACTTTCTCTTCACGCCGCTCGCGCTAATCGTGGACGCGTCTCACGACACTAATTACGATCCGAATCTACCGAGCAAAGTGGTGTCGCCGTTGTTGACGCGAGAAGCGGTCAACCTGCTGATAAACTGCGTCACAAGCAAGGAGACCGAATTGTGGCACTCGCTAGGCGACACGTGGCTGATACCGCGCGATCAGTGGAAAGGCCACGTGCCACCTTACCATCCGATCTTCATGGACGGCTGGTCGCCGGATTATCCCATCCCCGAGGACAGAGATCACGATCATCTGGCGTCCTTGCTGAACGCGGACAAACAGAAGAGGGACGAGTTACCGGAACAGCAGAACGATTCTTATTACAACCATCGCGATGTGGACGACTCGCATTACAGCAGCGATTATCTTGAATACGAGAGCCGGGAGGAGCGTGGCGGTAACGAGTACTTTGACAGAAATTACGGGCCTAGCTCGGAGTTGTACGCCAGAGAGGAAAGAGTAGATCAAACCAGGGCGCACAGTGACATCTCCGTCGATTCGATCGAAAGAGCTCCCAGGGCAGCCGCCGGCATCGACAGAGCGCAGGAAGCTTGGCTGGATGAACTGGTCGCGCGTCACGCCAAGATCGTGCAGGTTACTTATCCGCGAACGGCGAACAACGACAAAGAGCTCACGGTGGTCAGAGGCGAGTATCTGGAGATCCTGGACGACAGCAGAAAGTGGTGGAAGGCGAGAAACTCCCGAGGACAAGTGGCTCACGTGCCGCATACCATTGTCACGCCGCACAATCCCGCTCATTCCGCCGACAACGACGTCTTCAACAATCCTCTGTACACCAGCAGGTATCCGAGGCAGGGGCACGGCTACAATTACGAGGTGAGAGTTAATCGAGAAACACAGACACACCTTTCTTTCGATACCTTGTCGACAATCGCGAGTCGTAAAACGTACTACTAGATTCTAATTGTGTTTCATAATGGAAATTGACTCTCTCGCAGGACTCGGAAATCGAGAGAACCAGCACTAGTCCGGGTCCGGAAGCCACTCATCGGACGCACGCGATTCCGCCGCCGGCGCCTGCCGATTGGGTGAGAAAGGAAAGACTCGGGAAAAAAGGTGAATTTCGATACTTCTAAAGCCATTGTTCGGTTCCGCGATTCAGCAAGCGTCCTGTTGTTTGTCGAATTTCTTCGAATTTTGAGCAATTTTCGAGAGAATAATAATTCGGAGAAGTTGTTTAGCTGAAACAAAAAAAAAATGCAACTTTTTATTTTCTCCGTCACGAATGTAAAAGAGCCTCGATTTTAGAGCAACCAACGTACATATATATATATATATACACACACACATATGTCTTCCAAACTCGAAAGAGATGCTCTTCTCAACTGATGTTTATGACACCGAGAAGAGAGTCGATTATTATTATCGAACTTGATAAAGCTAATATACATAACAGATAAGAGAATGCGCATCTCTCACACACATATATACACACATATACACACACAAACATTATTAGTCTGTAAACGAAACCCTGTAGTATAATCGTTAGATCACCGCGTCACGTCACGTTTCAATTAGCGCATTCGTCGAGAGGAAGAGTGTTGTAATATCTTACGTTTCCTTTTCAACCTGTACATATGCAGAGGATGTGTGAGCGGATGTAATAATGTTAGACTGAGCCATTTATATACGATTGCGACGTGGGGGCGTGGTTTATTCTTTAAGTTCTTCATCAAACAATTCTATTCTCCGATGTTCAGAATAACGCCGGTAAAAAAAAAAAAAAAAAAAAGAAAAAAACAAAGAATTTGCTTTCTCCGTACGCGAGAATACAATCGTCGCATTTTTGCGTTCGTATCTGCGATATTTGCGAGATCGCGAGTGAGAACTGCGTGAAACTGCGCGATGAATTAAAAAAAAAAAAGTGTACTGAGAAAAGTTTTAGCTAAATTAAACAAAAACAAAAAAATGTATAGCAATAAAAATTCGCAATAATTTTTATTCTCGAAGACACAAATATTGATCACTTTGTTGAATCTCTCTCCTTTATCGTTATCACAGACGTATCGTTATCGCAGATAGAGAAATTGTGATTGGTAACAATCGGAAATAGAAGGACACAAAAGATATCGAGGCAAAACTATTTTATCGTAACATATTGTTAGTTAATATATATATATATTAGAAAAAGTTAAAAAAAAAAAAAAAACGTTATTACACGGGATCGCGCGTTTCAAACCATAAAATTGATCAATAATGTAATAAGGCGTTCCGACGATGAGATCTGTTTAATAAGCCGCAGTTAAGTATCAAGTATCAACAGTGACTATCAACCACGGATATCTGTATACTCGATTAAATTACGAATCTCCCGCTTTCATTTCAACGAGGAAATCGATAATGAAAGACATCAGTCAATGTTTTTTTTTGGCACTTCACGTGGTTGAGAGTTACCGAAACTTAAGTTTTCTACACAATTATGTATTTTTAATAATAATCGAATATAATTGTACCGTCACATATACCTATTTTTCTCTGTATTTATATCGACTAACCAAATTTAGTTATGTAGTTAATAATACGTGTCAGGAAAAAAAAGAAGCGATATTATATATATATATGTTACATACCTATTATTTTACACAGAAATGTTACGATTACAGAGCGTTAATCTACACACTGAGTGGTATATTTTCTTTCGTCAGAAAGTACTTATTTTATATATATAATATATATATATATATAAATAAAAGCAATGCAAGTTATATTATCGAGTGTGTGAAATGATATACATATGTATTGCGCCTGAAACTCAAACGGTTGGATTAGTCAATATTTCTATATTTATATTTTCTCTGGAACATTAGCGAAGTTACTGTGTTTGTCCTTTGTTTTCTTAATTGGGAGTTTTACTGTGGAGATAAAGTTCTGTAGAATATTTCGATAAAAGCTTTTGATAAAATTTTTGTGACAAAACACATTTGTGCGCAGAAAAAGAAAAGCGGCTTTTTTGATATCTTCTTCTGAAACATGTGCTTTCACTTTTTTATTACACATACGCTTTTGTCTTTTTTTTTTTTTTTTTTTATCAATAGCTTTTATTGACTTTAGCAAAAATCTTTTCCTTGATCCCGCTTGTACGTGTCGCATGCATTTTGTACGTATCGATGTAAATAAGCTTGTACAATCGAATATAATTGAAGAGTGCCAAAAAAAAAAAAAAAACAAAAAGATAAAAAACTAAACTCAGAATGAACTTTGAATAAAAAAGTACGAAATCTCTCGAAATCGCCCTACTTGTTGCTGTCGAAAAAAACGTGTGAGAAATGTACAAGCATGAAACACAAAACTGACACTGTCGTTATTTCTTGCGATTTCTCAATTATTTATTATATCTACGATAAATGATACATACATAGTAATAACCTAGTCCTATGCCAACAAGTCAAGCAATGTCAACAATCGACGAATAGTGCAAGCTTTTATTAATTCCTTTACGAAAGACAAAAAAATATTCTTTTTTTTACACTCCTTTATTTATTATTGAACTATATCGTGTAATATATATTTTATTGATTAAATGCATTCTCCCTCTATTTTTTTCTTTCTCTCTTATTCTCCGAAATACAGTAACTCAGAGTAGCGACGTATGTTTTCTTCCATACAATTTACGACGTGTAAATACAAAAACGTGTTATCTATCAATCTTTCTCTTATTCTCTTTGCTTAAGTCCTAACTCGATATTTGTGTATTTACAGGCCGGGAATGCGATCCGTTCAATATTTTTCATTCTGTAAAATTTACATGTACATCACTATTAATAAATATACAGTTGCAGATTGTACTTGGACGAGGAATCGTCGTCGTCCCGTCACTCTTCCCGTTTCCTGCGAATTGTAATAATTTTTATATATATTTATTATATTGTTTACTTCACTTCGTGCAGCGATCACAATATACGACGTGTGTAATGAGGATCACGCGTATTCGCGTTTTTCTATTCTTTATTGGTGTATCTTTTGTATAAAAGTTTTAGGCTATAAAATATCAAAATATATTACTACGTGCTTGTGTATGTGAACCATATGCTTAATGTGTGTTCGTCCAATATGTCTGGGACTGTGTGTGTACTGTACGAACGCTTTTTTGGGGTAAGTTACAGTTCGTTCTTTAATTTTATAGCTTCTCAATGTATTGTTTCGTACATACATTGTTTCATTTATGAACAAAAATCTAAATGCTACATATAATAAGCAATTTCTCCTAATATTATACAAAATGCTTTACAGATGATACTAGCGCGCACAACGGTATAAGTAGCAGCAACAGATCCAGCGCTTCCTCAATTGAAAGTCTTTCTCAGTCAAACGGCAAACTCCATACGCAAGAGAGCATTGTGGAAGTACATTCGCCACCTCGCAATATAATATTGGACCCGATACCGGACAAGCCGGCTTTGCCGCCGCCGCCTCCGCCATCAGTTACACTACCCGCGTCGGCATCACCGCCGTCACCGAAGACGCCACCAGCACTGCCCGCGTCCAAATCAGAATCACCGATATTGCCTACGTCGAAATCGACACCGGCGCTACCCGTACTAAAGTCATCACCTCTTGCAACAAAGTCAGAACCGTCATCGCCCGTACTGGCGTTAACTTCGTTTATGTCTCCACCGCCGCCTCCGCCACCGCCACCGCCACCGACACCGGTAACATCAGCCGCGCCTTCGCCCTCAGCTAAAACACTTACGACATTCGTCAACAAAACAGAAACTGCCAAACCTATTAAGCTGTTTAATGGTTAGTCGGAAACCGAAGATTTTATTAACGTCCGTAGTCACTTTTATGAGTTTTGTTGATGCTCTTTGTATATCTAAAAACGCGAGTTTGTTGTTTAATTTATGCTATTTCTGAAAAGGTAACTCTAAAGAGGAAGAAGTTCAAAAAGAGCTCAAGTTTGTCTTGACGATGTTCCGCGAGAAAAAAGCGAACGCTCTTCCTTCTTCTCTCGTAAACGACATGCACGAGGAAGTCTGGTTGAATCAACACTCGTCTCCCCGTGACGTTCAAGCTTGGTTGGCGGCAAAAGGATTTTCAGAAAAGTACATTTTAAATTCTTATTATGACACGAGTACAGAACGCGTGTGATTTTTTATCGTACACGTGTATTTTATACTTGCAGAGTTTGCAAACAATTTGAAAATACGAACGGCACAGAATTGTTTAACACGTCGCGGCGACGATTGGAACAATTGTGCGGACTGTCCGAAGGAAGCAGACTCAACGGACAGTTGACTTTAGCAAAAAACGTGTGCGAGGTAAGAGCGTCTTGAGAGAAGAACGTCAATACCAATACAAATGCCGATACTAAATCCCGAAATGTTTCATTTTTCAGTACAAAACCGCACGATCGTCGGAACTCAAGCAGATCTTGGAAAAAGCGCGCCGACGTGCGGAGGAGTTGAACGAGAAAGATGAGGTCAGACACTGAATCATACTGTTTTTCTACATTCCTTACCTACTACTGTGCAATAGAGAGTAAGGCAAATATTGATGTAACTACGTGCACTTCATCACGCAAAGACTCAATTCCAGAGAAGAACAGAAAGTTAAGGTAAAATAGAATAATATGTTTTTTTTCAAAAAAAACTATTACCGCGAAAAAAATACATAGTTTATTTTATTTTACCGTGTGAATTATTGTGATAACTGTCCGCGACGAGTCAAAGCAATACTGTACATGCCAAAGAATTTTAGAAAGCGAGCATGCACAAAAAAGTTACCCGTGTTGTATTTTTTTTGTGAAAAATGCGATTGCGCTATTCATTCCTATGTTGTATTTTAACAAATTTACTCATACAGATAAGTTATTCGTACTGCGCGATTGTACGAGAGTTTGGACACTGAAAGCATTCTACTTGATAGAAAGTTATCGTGTATATATACAATATTGTATACATATATAAATATATATATAGAATAAAAATAAACTTAAATCGACAAACCATAATATAAAACATACTAAAGCACAGCGTAATAAAAGACATATTTGTATTACATTTGTTATAACGAAGAGAAAATTATATAAAGATATTGATATTAGAAGAGTAATTTGACACACGTGTGTTGAATATTTATAAAAAGCGTAATGTGTGCGAAAAGTCACTGTCTTATATATTATGTTATAAATCAATTATACTCGAGATAATATAAATTTGTACATTTAAATTGTATATTTGTTAAACTATAAATAAATGATAATTGCGTGTAGATATATCAAAAAATAATAAATTGTTATATAACCATAATTGAATAATTGATCTATTAATAAAATTATATGGACGTTTGAATTGAATTTACTCGGTTGGAGATAATAAAATTTATAATTCTATCTATAGATAAAAAAACCAATAAGAAATATCTCTATAGATACAGATCTGCCGATATAGTCGGTAACTTCGTAACGCACGCGTTCCAGGCATAACACGTGCTTATAATTACTAGCACAAACAAAACACGTATAATATAGTATATACTATACTATGTTGCTAGATCATACTATATTGCTTTTTATTATATTATAATATAATAGTCGTTGCGCCCAATATGCGGACCCTTCCCTTACGAAAAAGAACTACTGCCGATTACATATAAATAAAGTCAATAATATAAATATTACTGACAATCACATAAGAATATTATTAGGGATTACAGGGATCACTAAGAATATTACTGGCAATTACACAGAATGCCAGTAATTTTTTCGTACTACTGCCGCAATATATTACTGCCAGTAGTTCTTTTTCGTAAGGGTTACTCTCAAACACATACAACATATATTGTCTAATGTAGAACTTTATTTCAATTACAATTTTAAAGATACGTACAATAATACTTACAAAAATAAATTTATATATCAATATATCTTAAAATTTATAATTATAAAAAAAACTGAATATTTCTCTTTCAAGTTCGAACGTGTTTGTACAAATTACGTCTAACGACATCAATAGGATACAAAGACAAATGCATGTCACATGACTTGTTGCCTTTTCGTAATTTTTTCAGTTTTATGATTTCTTTTCTTTCATCATTTTCTTCTTCAATTCAACTTTACGCTTATATATCGCAGGTGTAACTCCTTTGATTTTTCTCGGGTTTATGTTAAAGTTCACAAAGTTCCTTACCTAAAACATTATTAGCAGTTCCAGACTTTAATAACAAAATAGCAGAAATAATCTACTAGATTCGCGATAATATATACGATCTGAAAACTGAATGAGCTCTATTATAATAACTTTTACCCTTTCCAGTCGTTCAAGAGAATGTACACTATTGATAATTATTTCAATAATATGCTCTGCTGTAAAATGCGTACTATAAAAGAAAACATATAACATAAAAATATAATATATATAGTATTTATATAGATAAGCACTATATATTCTAAAAACTACTGTTATTACCTCCTTACTTTGTTTATATTTTCCAATAAATACTCCAATAATACATCATTGTCCGCATGTTTCCGAACAATAGTATGATAAATTATTCTGTAATCATACATATGTCGTTGTTCTTCAGAACACTGTAAAATATGAATAAAAATATTAGGATCGTTGGGCCAATTGTGTTGTAAAACTGTGCTTTTTGTTTTTGGTTCGTTTAGCCTGCAAATCTTTGTCACTCTTGAAATCAACAAAGCAGGAGATACCCAGAAAAACGTGTTTCGCGGAAGCCTACAAGAAACATAGACTCTAATTATATAAAATCAATGATTATTTGCTTTAAAAGTAAATATGATTATAAGAAAAAATTACTTCTCTAATGATAAGTCAGGATTTTCTTCGATTCTCGTAAGGATCTGATTAAGTATTTTTTCGCATTCATAATTGCCGATTTTAGATGCCCAAAGAAAAGTTAAAAGTCTTACAAATCTCTCAAAGACACTGTCTCCTGGATTGTCGTCGGATCCTACGCGTTTAACAAATATATCCATAAGGTTTATCTATAAGGCAACAATAATGTAAAATCAAGGTATATTATATATATGAAAAAGAACTGAGATTTAAACAAGTTTCAAAACTACTATGAGACATTTCTTTGTTTTATATGTTTGTTTACACACAGGCTGTATACGATTGTTATACATTTTTTTATCCAGATTTATTTTTATTCAAACATATGTATTTTGTTTTCAGAAAAACAAATATATTTCATATCACTTACCTTTACCGAAGAAATGTTTTCGTAACCCTTAGAAATTTTATTTCTCACAAATTGAAATATCAGCATCCATGGTAAAAAATCTGTTTCTCTTTGTAAGTAACTTGCAACTATCTCAAATCTCATATAATAGTATTCATCAAAATAGAAACGATAGAGATCATTAAGAATCTGAGCCCGATTAAGCACGTGTATCTTTCCATAATCATCCGAGTTAAAATACTCTGCAATCTTGTACCAACTGGGAAAGTCATATTTAACACGATAATGTCCTAAAAAATTATTAATACTATAAGACAGTTTCACGCATTAACAAAACAATTGTATAGCTGTAATTTCAATGTGTATATTTCTTACCTGTCCTTTGCACGTTGACTATAATCCAGTCATCTACATCAATTCCCTTTATGACTAGATTTTTATCTTGTGGTTTTAACCAATATGTTGGCAAAGTGTTGGAAAAATCGGGATTCGATCGCGTAGCAAAGGTGATAGGTATCCACGATTCTTTGCTGCAGGACTCGAAATGCTTCAAAGTGACATCGCCGTTTTCATTATTTTGTTTCACATATACCNTAGGATAACGGATATCTTGTTTTATGTACTTATCCATCACCTCTTTCACATTGTAATCGTCGTGTGGAACATTCGACTCATCTAAAGCTTCTTGCATAGCGCTCCAGAAGTCGTCGGTTGTAGCTGAGCCAAATTGACTAAAAAAACATAATAAAACATATTATATAACCAGTATATTTTTCAACATTTACTCAAAAAACGCCAAACCGACTATATAAATAACTTAATGTCATGTGATGATGTGTGTTGTAAATTTTTATGTTTTACTTTTATCACCAATAAAACAATAGTATACTTACTGTGCATTTAAAAATTTAATAATACCCTTTCGGAATACGTCATCGGTAAGAATGTGTTGTAACATACGCAGCACAGAACGTGCTGTAACAATGAGAAAAAATTACTGAACCTTTTTGTGAGTTTAAAAAAAAATACTTTTTTAAAGAAATGTAATAGGAAGACCCGCAAATATATTGTTTTCAACTGGCACATATTTTTTTTTGTTTATCGTTCAGAAACATGAAACACATGGCACAAAAATATCTTTTTTAATCTCACCCTTGCCGCGATCAAGATCGTTGAGATGATCGATAATTTCCTTAGGAGTATTAACATCTTTTGTAAGAGGATTATCGTCCTTTGGAATGTCAGTTTCCATAATGTTGTACCTTAAATCAATTACAGAAAGCTCTGTTTTTCGCCAATTTTCGAACGTCTAAAACCAAATAATACAATGAGATGATCAGTAAGATCAATTAAATAATAATTAAAGGTACGTGTTAAAGCAATAATAATTTTCTAGCGCAAAACTTGTTTCTTACCTTATCGATAACATAATCTGCGAAATATGCTGCTAATCCCTCGGTCAACCACACGTGAGACCACCACGCCGGACTGACTATATTACCGAACCATTGATGTGCTATGTTCTTTGCTGCTGCCTCNGTTCCCACATACGTGTTATATATCGAAGCTGTATTTTCTGATGGAATACCGCTAGAGTGTTTTAATAAAAAATACATTGAAATTTAACATTTGATTTTACATTTGTTAATACAATATCAATCAATAAAAACAAAAAATCTAAATTTTATTTCTCAAGTCATTAAACTACTTTTATATAATGTAAAACTATAGGGGCACATACTGATATATAGTGTATACAAATTTTTATATATTCAAGTGATAGCGCGACAACTAAGTTGTAGAAAAAATTAAAAGATCATTACTTGTAAAAAATAAGACCCCAGTTTTCCATGTTTATAAACTTTGTTCGCATCACGACCTGATCGATTTTCGGGACCTTNACGGTGTTGTTGGTATATTCCGTCAACAGTCGTACGAACTTTATAGCGACTTCTTGCTCTGTATTTTCTTGCCATATTTCGCTAGTTTTCCACCACGTATTAATGGTTCCGTCCTCGTTAGAAATACAAATGAAATCTGACAACACAACGAACGCAACCAGATACGTGGACATGATCGGGGTCGTTTCGAAGTGCGTCCATATNGTGTGGTTGTCGGTATCATCGTCCGTCTGTTCTCGTATCGGCATATTTGACAGAGCTATGTCATTCCGATTGTGTTTGATAGAAATATTGAAGGTGGCCTTTAACGCCGGCTCGTCCCAGCACGGAAACGCGCGTCGTGCTGATATCGGCTTAAATTCCGT